TGTTTTTAATGGATGTCAGTTATCAGTTATCTCCTGTTAATTCCCCTCTCCAAGTTCTCCACTGCCTTAACCGGGTATTGAACTCACACTCTTTGGGTCCTGTCACTGGATCTAACTAACGCCTTTATCCACTGTGCCATGTGTCCTTGAGGACATTCCAACTACCTGAAGAAGGCCGAAGCGTACAACGGCCGAAACGTTGTAATAAATATAGCGACAAAGATGAGGACAATAGTGCGAATAATGTAAATAATGAGAATTCCTATCGCTCAAAAATACCAAAGTGATCATCTTTGTTAGGTAATTGTCTACTGGGCCGTGGCTCCCTGATTGGGAACTCTGTACCCCAGTCTATTTAAGTTTTGCCAAGATGTGTTTGCTGGCATAACTGAAATAATTAATGAGGTTAATTTTTTTTTTTACATGCATCAGGAGACGTTGTTCTGCAATCTTTTTCCTCTCTCTTTTTAAACAAAAATATCAAAACTATGACATCAACTGGTGGCTATTAAAGAAAAAGCGGTAGTTTTGAATTTAGAAAAAAACTTTTTTTTTTTTTTCCTAAATTCAAAACTACCACTTTGGAAGTTCATTTCAAAATTGCACTGAAAAAGTAATTTAAGAAAAAAAAAAATTAAGTTTAGATTTTTTTTTCTGTCGGATCTTATAAATTACGCCAAGCAGCAAGTCTCAAGAAAAGTTTTAAGAATTGAATTGTTTTGGGGGCAAAATTCGGAACCTATTTTCCATTTGTTCACATTCGATATTGCATAAGTTTTTTTGTTGTTTTTTTTTTTTACTTAAATAATATCTTCAAGGATTTAACTGTAAAAATTGGACGCAGACCCCACCCAAGTTATAAAGAAAGTACACACACGATATCGAAGAGAGGGTTGGAAACATACCCACACCCAAAAAATATTTCAAAAACTTTCAATAAAATAACCTTGTCAGTAAGTAAAATATTAATTCACTAAATGAATAGTTTGTATTTTTTAATTTCGTTTGAATCGGATGATTCCCTGATTTTTGGCAAATATTTTAAAACGAGGAGGGGGTATTTTTTTTTTTTTTGTGCTTTCAATTCGGAAAAAAAAGGATCAGTTTAAAAGACAGTACTAAAAGTTTTGGTGCTATCTATTGTGTGTGTGGGGGGGGACAAAACCAAAAAAAAAAAAAACATTTATATTGGAATTTAAAAAAGTTTTTATTTTTGAAAATAAATAACATTTTTAAATTAAGTTTTTCTGTCTTTTACTGGCTTACAAGGAAGACGCACAAGAAAAAAAATAATGTAGCAATTCATATACAACTTTTTATCCAATGTATTGTTAATTCTGACTAGGATACTTTGATAGACTCTTGCTTATACAAGTTGCAGGGTTTTTAGTTCCTCAAATAGCACGTGTCTTATATGGCCAGGAAATACGATATATTCGTTGCGTAAATTAAGATTTCACAAATTTAAAAAATGAAGAAATTGCTTTCTTCCAACTTTCGTTTTCAACAGAAGACATCAGTTGTTTTTTTTTTTTCATTAATAGATTATTTGATAATTTACTACACAGAGTATAAAGTCACTAAATTTACTGATAGAGCAGTAAAGGAAAATATATTATTTAATTTTAATCAATAGCATGTGTAACTGGCCTGTGGGATTGCTGTGCTTTAGTGTGTAACGAGGTAGGTGTGCTGAAAAGTTCTTGGCCCGACCCACTTCACAAAATTTCGCCAAATGACAAAACATGAGAATCCCGCGTGTTCAGTACACACACGCACACAGGAACTTTACATGGTTAGATCAGATCTTTCAAATGAGTGCGTCGTGCACAAGGCTGCAATTTGTTACTCTCCATAAAATATGGTAAATGTTTAAGAAAAAAAGATTTAATGGATGATCAAGAAAAAGAAAAAATAAGTTCTATTTCTAAATAGTAGCTTCCCAATCCTTTTAAATAATGTGTGGACATGAATCAACACTATGGTGACAGTCAGTTTCACGCTTCACTGCGATCTTCAGACGAAATAGGTTTTTTTTTTGCTTCCTGTATTCTTGTTTCTTTTTTTAAATTTTCATTACTACTCCTTTGTCATAAATTCTTTTTTCCGTAAAAAGTATAAAATTTTTAGAGACATGTTCTACATTTAATAAGAAACTTTCGTAGTGGCTACTTTAGAAATTTAAGATACAAAAAGTTTAAAATCATTTGAATTTAAAAGTATTTGTCAAACGTAAAAAAAAAAAAAAACAAAAAAAAAACTCATTAAGCAAAAATTTGGATGATTTTTTAAAAAAACAAAACATTTTTATTAATATATAGTAAGTTCAAAAAGCAAATAATGGATTTGTTATTGTTGCTAAGGCAAGGAGTGTACTTATTGAATGAGTTTTTTTTATTTCATTTTAAAAAGCGTGTAAAGAAAATTAGACAATAAGTGCCTCAAGGTGACATCTGGCTTATTTTGCGTAATGTAATGTAATGATGTCTTCTTTTTTCAAGGAAGTAAAAAAAAAAAAAACAGAAAAAAAGCCCACTTTAAATAAATGCTTTAAATAAAGTATTACTAAACTTTAACAAAAAGTATGTCGTCAGTATTGGGGATTCTATGTGACAGGCAAAAAGGGGATCCCACATGTCTCCATCTCTAAGGATGTTCCCTCACACCTTAAACTATAAAAAGGTCCTCCACTACTAAAACTGATTGCGTAGTATTTTTTTAATTTAATAAAATAAAAACATTTAAAAAATAATTTCTGAAAGTTTTATAAATCGGCAAAATGAAAAATAAAGATAGAAAAAAGAAGTTATCACATTGACTTTCTCTAGTTTTACCTTCCCTTTCACTTACACATTAATGTTGACCCTCAACTAATGCTCCCCACACTCCCTTTTTTGGATTGCGAGAAAAACACCACTGGCCGTCAGTGTAAAATGAATAACCGGGCGACATGACTACCAATTGAATAAAACATAACTTATTTTTCTTACGAAATTCGCTAGTGTAATAAAAATTCGATTCTCACTGGTTGTACCTATTAAAAATGTCTTTGTGATTGGTTTTTAGTTAGTAATTACTAAGGATTTGGTATTGTGCTCCATTATTAAATCATCACAAAATAAATTATTTAAAAAAACAAAACAAGAGAAATATAGTCTTCACTTCATTCTGCATCACTAAGAGGTTCTTAAAGATGTACTTTATGTTTAGAAAACAAAATCTGAACAATTGTTACTGTAGCAATCCCGTCAAAATTTGATTGAAATGTGCAAGTGCACGTTTGTCGGTTGCATGCGCGCACTGACCGATTTTTTTATCAGTTTGCTACAAAAAGGAAACAAATAGACATTTCAAAAATCAAAATGTTTGTATGATCTACAACACAAATACAGTGAGTGATGTTAGTATAATTTTTAGCTGTTTCAATTTTTAACTAGTATCTGTCTATGTTTTCTTTGTTACTGGATTGTTTTTTGTGGTTCTTTTTTTTATGTGAATTAAAAGTAGAAGTAGGGAGCGCTACTTGGGGGAAAAAGACATTAAGGGGGGGGAGTATGAGTTATGTAAATTTTCGAATGATCAAACAAAAAAAAAAAAAAAAAAAATCAATCTCCGAATGTAGAACGACTAATTATTTTTTTTAAATAAGTCCAGAAAATAGACATCAGCCGTTTTAAAAAGAAAGAAAAAAGCATGAGAGTGAGAGAGAAAAAATAATATCCAACGCCCTTTTTGTGTATTTACCGATTAATTCAGAACAATAAAAGTAAAACTGAAAGGTTACCGATACCAGTTCCTCATAAATGGCGGGCCTGTTCAATCAATGAATGAATGAATGGCATAATCGATAACCATGTCCCATTTTTTATTTTAAATTTGAACTTAGTTATGTCAAAAAATTTTTTAAAACAATTCATTCAGATACATTGTCGTCGATCTCGTGTTTTTTTTTTAGTTTTACTTTTATCAAAGATCTTTTTTAAAAACTTACTTTCTCTAGAAATAATTAGCAATGTATCATTTTTGTTGCTTGTTTGTGGCGGTTCAAAATTCTTTTAAGAGTTCATAGAAACTTGTAACTAATTTAAGTAAAAACAACTAAAGAGAATTTAAAAAAGTTAATGTTTTATTGTTTTGCCATTTAACTTTATTTAACGAATTTCAGTTTTTAACGAATATTTGTAAGACGGTAGAAAAAAAAAGATGTTAGCAAATTTTTAAGAGTTTTTAAAGTTTTAAATTGGAGATATCACACACAGAGTAATGACCAAAAATAAAATCTTTAGAAGGTAATAAATTTCAAAACAAAAGTAAAAACATTTTCAACTTAAAGACATAACTTTCAGGAAAATTAACGAAAACAAATGCGGAAAAAAGTCAGTTATTGAAATTGTCAAGAAATAAAAATAAAGTAGTTGTTAAACTTATAGATTTTTAAAGATTATGAAATTTAAGATCATAAATTTGTAGGAAATTATCCGTACGGTAAAAAAAATTATGGCATGAAGTTACTGAAGAAAAAAAAAAATAGAAATTATTATGCAACAAGTTTTTTTTTTTTTTTTAACTTCTGGTGTGAATTTTTACAGGTGCCACTTCTGTGTTATTGTACAGATTGGTAATGAAAACTAATTTCAAATATACTTAGAAGTGATTTTCCTTGAAAATTCATAATTTATGCGTTATTCAAAACAGAAATTATTACGAATTTCTCATGAAAAATATGAAGGAGAAAAAAATATACAAACAAAACTCCGTAAATCACTAGTAGCCTGTAATCTGTTTAACTGTTTATTATTAGTGTTTGATTAAAAACGAAACAAAATAAGCTTTAAAAATACAATTATAAACATTCAAAAAAAGAAACAAAAAATGACTTGCTCTTAGTTTTTTTTTTTTAAACTTAACACTGAAGCGATAAAAAAGGTTTTAGTTTAAAGTTAAAGAAAAGACAGTTTAACAAAAAATGACGAATTTTTTTTTTTTTTTTTTTTACTTACTATGCTCCAAGCAATAAGTCCTGTCAGCAAAATCATCAAAATGAAAACTGTCACAAAAAGACAAATCATTTTCCTTTTCCAGTAACGTATCAGAAATTTACAACGATTTTCGAAGTTTGACTCCTCTGGGGTAATACGTGAACAAAAACAAATGATTTTGTTTCTTCTTCATTTCGCTCTTCGGTAAGGAAACTTTCTGACATTTGAGGAGTGTCTGTTCCTTCCACATATATCACAGACCTGAGATTTTTTCCAATGCCATTGCCTTCAATCAATTCCGTCTCTCTTGATTCTTCCGTACAAACGTGCGACGTCATGACGACTTCACGACTTGGAAAGCAATGTAAATAAAACTGAAACCGCTTTAACTGTAAGGATTTCCCTTTTTCTAAAAATAACGATTGGACTCCTAGACTCACTGCTACGACAGCTGAGAAACTTTTTTTTTTCTTTTTTTAAGTAAGTATATAAATTTAAAAAAGTAAAAATAAATTAAGGTAGCAGGAATGTAGAATTTAAAAACAAATTTGGTAATAATGCAGTAGTCAAATGGAAATCTTTCTTTTTTTCAAAATTTATTTCAAACCAACACAGATTTTAGTACTCATTACTAAAAAAAAAAAAAAAAAAAGCAACCAAACCAAAGATTCTACCTGCATTTTCACTCGAATGAAATGTGGCAAAAGGTCGTGTTTAATGGTAACCCCACGTATACATGGGAATATGATGAATAACACCCCCACGCATAATTAGTTTAATTAATTAGAAAAAATAAATTTTGTAAAGAAAAATTTACGGAAATTTAAAGTCAGTTTTCTTTACCAACCATCTTTTTTGAAATCGTAAAATTTGAACATTTATTTTTACATTTTATTTTAAAATTTTATAAATGTTGCTAAAGAAATCAAATCGATTGAAAATTTAATTTTAAGCTGCGTAAAATTTTACCTTGATTCAGAAAATAAAACCAGAATATTGTCTTTTGTTTCCAGTATTTTTTTCTTTTCTTTTTTAATCGGTATCCCCCCCCCATGGAAGGCAATAAAGCCACTAAGATACAAGGGGTTACAGGGTGTAGAAGAATTAGGAACAGAAACATTAATGAGCAGGGAGAGAAAAGAAGAGTCATCAGGCGGACAGTAGATAGCGATTGACATTGCATTTAAATTTTTGCAGATTAAAATTTAGTTTTTAATTACTTTCTTTAATTAATAAAATATTCAGTAGACTTAGAGGGTTGTGCAAAAAAATCATTGATAATTTTTTTTAAGGATTTATTTTAATTTTTATTTAATTAGTAATTTTTTTAATATTTTAATTATCTGGACAATTCTAAATTGTTCTTTAAAATTGTTATAACAGTAATGTAACAATGTTTAACAAAGAACAAAATGTTGTGTTTGTTGCCACAATTTATGCACAATGAAATGAACCCATTTTCATTTTTCATTTTGTAATAATCCGCACGTAGAGGGGGCGTTATTCTGCATTTTGAACAAATAAGTTAATTTAATTGTTAAGCATATTCAATTTACTGTCAGGTAAAATTTTGATTTTTAGTTTATTAAACTTTTAAAAAGAGCATCGTGATTTGTTTCTTTAATAACCAAGACTGTTTCATTAGCAACAGCGCCTCAACCTTAAAGTACCACACCGCTAAAATCAAAGCTTGGTCTTTTTTTTTTATTTCTTAAGAGTAAATAAATAAGTTGTTTTATTTAAAATATCTTTTATACTTTTAGTTTTCTCTGTCTAAAATAGTCTTTAAGCAAGGAATATTTTAATTAAATTATTTAAAAAAAAAAAAAAAACGACAAAGGAAAATTAAAAAAAAATTTAAACCAAGATTTTTGTCGAAAAAAAACATTTACTGGTTAAAAATAAATTTATATTCCAAGTAAAGTCATTGTTAGTATATTAGAAAATATTTATCACTTATTCAAACAGCTTTTACTTTTTAATTTATTGAGACAAATCAAATTTACACTGAAGAAGTTTTTAAAACAAAAAAATGATGATTGAATGAACGCTTGAATTAAGTTATGCGCTAAATCGCTCAATCAATCATTTCAAACAGAAACAGATGTATGAGCTTCAGTGTCCTGTGGGAAAAAATACTTCGCAGTTAAGTGAGTTTGTCTGTGCCGCAAATAACCAAAAAAAGTAAGAATGTATCTTTTTCCTCTTCTTTTATTAGTGCCAACTTCAAGCAGCAGCCAAACTTTCGGGGTTTTTTTTTTTCATTTTATTTTTTAACGTCGAAACTTATGTTTTTCTGTGCTAAACTTAAAGGTGTACTCACTCAACTGTGAACATTTACAAACTGTACTATGCATTACATTTAACTAGGTCTCATCTTCAGGAAAAAAACAACAACAATATAACTTTCAGCTTCTTCATATTTTGGTCAATGAAGTTTCAGAATAATGCTTGTGTAGAATTTATTGTAGAATGTTGTAGTAATTACCGGGGCAGTGGCAAAAAACATTATTACACAACATCAACAAACTTATATCAGAATCTATTAAAAGAGAATTAACCTCCTAATTCTACTTCAAATAGATAAAGAAATAAAGGAAGATGCTCCCCCCCCTTTTTTTTGAGAAATGGATGAGATTGAAAAAGCCAAACACAACAAAAGGAATTTAAAAAAATACATGGACGACAAAGTCGGGACAATGTTATGCCGGTGGTACTGTAGTGACTACTCCGATTTACCACGCCCACAAAATACTTAGTTATAATTGGATAGAAAATAAGTACTGTTTACTACAGGACAATTTACCTATCGCAGTAACCACACAAAATTTTCTGCCATGACTTTGCCTAACTTGGTTTTTTTATAAAAAAATCAGTGATTGGTCAATTTTTATCCAATCGTGTATTTTAGATATTCCTTTCGATATTTTCCCCGCTTCTCTCTGGAGCCTACCTAAAGAGTATTTAAACAGTTCGTACTCCAGAAATAAATTAGTAGAACAATAAATCAGCAGAACTCAGCAACGCACGCGTATCTACATTCTTCTTCTCACGCACACACAGTCACAGAACTACCATTACACTACACTGTTAACTGTCTGTCACAAGCCAAGTCACAAACCAAATTCTATTATCCTTTTTGTACAAACTTTTCATTCTTGAATTCAAATCTTATTCACCGAACTCTGAACATTTCAACAAGAAAGTTCTTAAGTACATTATTCCTATCTTGCATCAGATATCAGTACAAGGGAAGCTACTTTTCTCTCCCTAAATATTAATACATAAGAACAACTGTTGTATTCGTTGATTTTCAATATATATTTGATTGTTGAATGCAATTTGATCTCTTGTTCTTTTTTCCTTGTGTTCTTTGCAAATTTAAATGTTTGTGCTCTCACTAAAAACGCAGCCCCACTAACAACCTCATTAACAATTTTAAAACAAATCTGAGCAACACACCACAGTACCAAAGTTAACAAAATTGGGCAAAGGATTTCCATATTTGACCATGTCGTCGGTACCCGTCTTAAAAGAAGAAAAAAAGAAAAAGGGCTCCCGTTTACTGGGCCCGCGATCCTGGAGGTAGACAACGACCTGCATTTTTTTTAACTAATTGATATTATTTAAGGGATTTGACAAGTACAGAGACGTCATTAAACAAGCGGATCATTACTTGCTAGTTTATCTACCGTTTTTTCTGTCTTTTTTAGGCTGTTGTGCCCTCCGAACTTCTTCAGGTGTGTGTGTCTTCATCCCAGAATTTATAAAATCGGCATGTTAATGTACACCTGAGGAAAGCCGGGGCACACTACAGCCTAAACATTGTGATAACAATAACTAACATTAACAACAATAAAGATGAGGACAGTAGTCCAAATATAACGGTTAAAAATCTACCATTAGGTTTATTGAAAGTAGATAGCACAAAGTTAGCTTATTTAAATTGTCCTTAGGTTTTCTTTGAATTCATTCTGCGCACCCATCAGCACTTTACGTGGGTTTGTTTATCTATTTCCATTGTTAGCCAACAATTCAAGCCGTTGTCTTCTTCCGGAAATATGGGACTGGTAAATGGCGTTAAAGCCAAATTAAGGTTAAGATTTTGATTTTTGACTTTGCCTTGTCTAAAAGATCTAATATTTGTAAGCAAGGATAAAAATGATTTGCCAAATGTACATTTGAATGTTCAGTGCGACTAAATTTGAATTGACCTTTCTTTTCTTTTTTTTTTCTTTTAAATTAATAATCATTATAGTACCGAGTTCAATTCTCGGTAGTGGATGCGCACTGTTGATGAATCCCAAAATAGGACGAAACGGCAATCCAGTGTTTTTCTGCATTCTGTTGAGGATTCTTCTAGACTCGATGAATTACTACAATAATTATTCTAATCCCCAAAATTCTATCACTTGTATATCCTTGCTAATGCTTTGAACGGCTAAGGAGACTGAAGACGTTGCTCTTGGGTCACAACCTTTTGGGTTATGAATACTTGGATAAATATCACCATTGAATTTGTGAGTAGCAGTGCTATATCGAATTTACGTAGTTTCTTCTTCGTCACCATTGGTCCAGTGGTATGACGCTTGCGTTATATCGTAACGGTCCGAGTTCGATTCTTGGTATTAGATGCGCACTGCTGATGAGTCCAAAATAAGATGAAATGGCCGTCCTGTGTTTTCTGCATTCTGTTGTGGATTCTTCTAGACTCGATGATTTAGTATTCTTCTAGACTCAATGAATTAAGTATATATATATATACTTTTTCACTTCACCTGGTTTTATTTTTATTTTTCTCAAGCTACCTTATCGCCTATCTTTCCTTCTTCAAGCACTCTTATTTCCCCTCTTCCTCTCTCTCACTTCTTACCTTCTTCCTTTCCTCCTTCATTCCCTCTTATTTCCCCTCTTCCTCTCTCTCACTTCTTACCTTCTTCCTTTAAACCCTCTTATTTCCCCTCTTCCTCTCTCTCACTTCTTACCTTCTTCCTTTCCTCCTTCACGCCCTCTTATTTCCCCTCTTCCTCTCTCTCACTTCTTACCTTCTTCCTTTCCTCCTTCATGCCCTCTTATTTCCCCTCTTCCTC